ATTAGTGGTGAGACGTCCTCACCTTGTGTAAGTGAAATGTGGGGCAACACTGCCTATGTATGTTAGCCTGAAATACTCTGTTGACCATCACTCTGTTAGGTGGTATGAAATTTTCCAGAAGTCCAGTATATTTGTTCTGCTGATATCCACTTAACTTTGCAGTATTAAAACCTCTTGAACTGCTATGGAAAAGTGCTTCTTTTAATCTGGCACTTCAAAATGGCGTAATGCATAAATACCTTCAGCACCTTCTGACCAGTGAAAAGTTCCTCTTTTCTGTACAGTGTTTGGACTTCAGGTGGATCTGCTGAAAACCTACTGGAGTGGGGTCAGGCTGCATTACACTTTCAGACTTATTCAGTGGCATATAAATTGGGTCACTTTAGAGAGTGAATGTTTGTTTAACTGATTTTTTTTCTTTCGTATCTGAAACTTATTTTGAACTCAAATTGGATTTTGCATCCGAGTTATACCTGGCTCGTGGTTTGGGATAGGTAGGGCATCCTCAAGGCCATGAATTTGCCAAGCTAAATGAATATATATATATATATAGAGAGAGAGAGAGAGAGAGATTAGTTGAGCCCTTATATAGCTATATATTCATATTATATTCATTTAGCTTGGCAAATTCAAGGCCTTGAGGATGCTCTACCTATCCCAACCCATGTGCCAGGTATAACTCAGATGCAGAATCCAGTTTGAGTTCAAAATAAGTTTCAGATAGGAAAGAAAAAAAATCAGTTCAACATTCACTCTCTAAAGTGACCCAATTTATATGCTACTGAATGTCTGAATGTACAGAAATGTGCAGTATATCTAGCTATATAGTTTAGCATCAGCAGCCTAACATGAATGAGAGGAAGATTTGAATACAAAATTTCTGGGAGAGCTAGAGGTGTTGGTTTTAGAGTGTTGCGATCATTTCTAGAGCAAGAAGCACTTCTTGCTGTATAACTTATACATTGTTTTTTGGTTCAGTGGTAGTCTCAGGCCATGCTTTTGGGCAGTGACCTTGATGTAGATGGTGAAAATGTCAGAACTTTCCAAAGATTTGCCCCTTCTAACCTGACATGAATGATTTAGCAAGTAGAAGAATGTTAGTATTTAAATATTAAACATTCCCTTGCCTGTCTCAGCTATTATAAAGTGTCCTCATGTGCCTGTTGGGCAGTACCAACTTCAGATGAGTGGTTCTTGGAATTGCCCAAGCGTTTACACTATATCATGCTTGAGAGATGCTGGGAAGGACCTCTTCCTTCCCACAGCCCTGAAATACGAGCAGAGATGAGATTAGAAAAGCAAATTTACAGAGAAGAACTAAGTGAATTGATTTGCCTCTCCTCACCTTGGGGTTACCTCTTTAGTAGCATGTGCCAAATCCTGTCTCTTTCTTTCTGGGTCATGTAGAAGATTTGCCAGCATGGTGTAACATCTACCTGGAAAATGAGGAAGCTAGGTGTTGATGATGTGATCTGTGCCATAGTTGGTGGGATGTCATTTTGTGTTTTGGATGATTACTAAAACATGCTTTCAATACTTAGCATTTACGTAGTACAACATAGACAGCAAATAATCTGTCCCTTTGAGTTTAGCACTATCTATGGTTCTCAGACAGGGTAGAATAGATTAGGTGACTTTGTCAAGGCCATTAAAGAGTGAATCAGAGCAGGGGCTAGCTTCAGAAGTGTTTGGCAATACACCAAAAAGTTGTACTTATCCTGTGAGTGGCCCAATTACCCTTTCTGAAATGGAGCTGCCTTTCCTTGGAAAATTTGGAATTGCTGACATTAATCACATTAACTGAAGATACAATTTTCTCTTCATGTAATATTAAGCACAGAGATTCAGCACAATACGTCTTTCACTCCATGAACTGAGCAAATTATGGGGACATTTTGGATCCAAGGGAATGTTATATGGAAGGAGAAAGGGTTGCTGCATAGTATATGGAGTCTGTATGGGTTTGAGGATTAATTATTTATTACTAATATGGATTTACTATTATCAGCCATATCAAAATTATTTTTTGTTTTTCATGTTGTTATCCTGAAAACTTGCTCAGCATTGTCACAGAGATGGAATATCAGTTCATCGCTGTAAAATTATTGATTAAACATAGTTCTTGAACCTCCTTCGCTTTGTTTGCAGGACAGAAGAGACTTTGGGTCAGTGGCCTAGTTAACCTCATGCCATGTTGAGACTTTGAGGTTAGAGACAGCTCTGGCATAGGCTATGCACCGGGAGGGGAGGCACCGGGAGGGGGAGGAGGGCACATGCCCCCCCAAGATTGACTGATGCTGGCGTCTGCGGGTGTTCCCCGCTCGCCAGCACCGATTCGGCATCTGCGGGTGGTCTCCTCTCACCACCATGGTGCCCCCCCCAGTCTCAGGAGCCATCAGTCATTCACGAGACCTGGGTTTTTCATGAGCCCGGGGATAGTGGGTGTAGAGTCTTAACAGTGACCACAGGGTAGGCACTAGCTTTGCTCATTGAGGTCTTCTGGAAAGGTCCATGGCTCTGACACAAGTGAAAGTAATCCTCAGACACTGAGGCTTGTCATTAATTTCACATGCTAAAGTCAAGCACATAGGTAAGAGTATGCAAACTGGGGCAAAGGCTATCTTCCCTATCAAAGGAGGTGTGTGTTACATCAAGGCAGCTCAAGCTACATCTCTCTAAAATACTGGTGGAGACCAAGCACAGGCAGTTTTGACCTTGATGTAGCATTGACCACAGTTAGCTACATTGAGATAAAATCTGAGGTCTCATCTCCCCTAGGACTTTATGGCCAGGGAGCTAATTTGTTTTAATTACCTTGCTGTAAAAAGGCTGCTTTGTTTTGGTTGGGAGGACATCCTTAGTGGAGGAGAGCTTGAGCAGAGCTTCAAGAAATGCATCTAACTTACCTGAGGCTCAGTTGCTCCACTGAACATTTGAGATTTGGTATTGGCTCCATAGAGTAACGATCTGTCAGTGTCACTAACCTCTTTATTCAAAGCATGCCAACGTGATATTAGGCCGTTTGCCACGTACTTAAGAATACGTGCTATGCTTTGCAAGTGTTGGTGCAGAACTGCCATGGCAGATCTTTCAAGATGGACCTTTCATATGTGCTGAGGTCAGAATCTGCCCCTAAGTTTATCAGAACCGGCACGGAGAGACAAGTAGTAGTAACTGTATTTTAATGTTTGTTCTGGAAAGGAGAGAAGCAGAAGGTAACCTTGTTAGAAGTAATTTAGTTGACATTCTGTGGTCAAAGCTACAAACAAACAGAAGCACATAAAATGCTAACCTGGGAAGAAGTCAGGGAGTCTCATTTTGATGCATGCATTTTGGTATCTGGTTAATTTATGCCCAACTCTAATAACAAGGGCCATAATGTGGCTGGCACGCTGCAAAGACACAGGATAGCATTACTACACAGAACTGTGTCAACTGAACTTTTTTAAGTAACAGGAGACTTTCTGTGGGCACCATAGAAAAAGGAGATCTTGTCTGTGAAATAATACTGAAGTCTAAAAACAAGCTGAGGAATGTTCCCTGCTTAATAAGATTTAAAGCGCTACTGACCAGAGTCCATTTGAGCTTCATTCTGTATAGCAAGTAGCCTTTTTTTGTATTCATTATTAAGTGGGTTTAAAAACTACAAGGCTCACACAAAGAGGGAAAATGCTATCCAAAAAAGCTCTATTCTGTTAAGTAGAAAACTGCCCTGCAGTCATGTTGAACACACCTTTGTGTTATGTGCCTCTGAATTATACCGACCATGAGATATCAAGTAAAGCCTGTTGCTGTGAGGATACTGTTAGCACTTGAGTTATGTATGCAGCCGGATTCAATGTAGCATACCCCAGATGTGTCATTTGGATTCCAGCCTGTGATTTATCTTTTCTTTTTTTGAAACCAGTACTGACACATTTCCAGAGTCCATAATTCTCATGTTTCCTGTGCAGGGCTTTGTACCAGAATTCCAATGGCTCTTGTGAATGGACGACTGGGGTTGTTCCTAACCCACTTTAGCAGAGCAGTCAACCAGCGACATTTCAGGTATCTTTCAAACACTATGAATAGCTTTCACTGAACCCACTTCTTTAAAAACTAATTATCCTTTTTTAAACTGATTATCCTCTTCTAAAGGGCCATCCTCATAATTCAAACATGATATATAGTATTTCTGCTTTTTATAAAATTAGTGTAAGAGAAAAAAATGAATTGCATAATTTTTATGGATTATAAAAATAATCCAGGCAATCCAAACATAACAGCACATGCCGGTGCCTGAGGATCAAAAAGCAATATTGACAATGGCCCTGATTGGGTAATCAGATGTGTGGGAAGAGAATCCCTTCTCACCAGTGCTTTTGTTTGTCAGCATCTTCCTGTGTCTAGTTGATTGCAGGATCAGGGAAGACTAATTTCCTACCTGAGCAAAAGGTAGAGAGACAGGCATCTAGTACTAAATGGTGAAAAGTCAGTCATGTGTTTTTGAATTTTTCTAGAATTAATCCTCTCAGTATTTAGAAGAAGAACATTTTTTTAAAAACTGAAAAATTATTCCATCAGATCTCAACAGTTCCCTTCCAGAGGTGTGTTTTTAATTTTAAATTATTGAAGAGTCCATCCCTGGTTCCAGGCATTTAAAGCCTCCTAAATTTTATAAACTTCATCTTTTGCAATGCTTTGACCAGGCCGTAGACCTGCTGTGTACTCTGGATGGGTACACAGATCTACCAGCACAGGGGTGGTCATCATAGAGGACAGTCCAGTTGTCCTCTGTCCTCTATTGATATGAAACTTGGATGCATTTGTGTCCTCTGTTTTTCTCTTGAAGGGAAAAACAGAGAACATAAAGGCGTCAGGTTTTGTACCAGTAGAGGACAGAGTAGCAGAAAACCGGAATGTCCTCTGTGATGGCCACCCTAACCAGCACAGATCTGACAGGTTTGGGACCTCACTTTGCAAGGGATTTCAATGTATTGAGCAGACTTACTGATTTAATAGTCATTCATGTAATACCCACTTATGTTCTTTCTGGGCTCTGTGTACTTGCCTTGGATTAGGGAAATACAATCTGTTTCCATATAGAGTGGACTTGATACTTCCCCTTTCAGTACAAGGACAAGGGTGGCCAAACTTCCTAACCCTTGTAGCAATAAATCAAAATTTTAACATGGCCAAGAGCTGCAGGATGCAACATTTACAAGATGTGTGTGCCAGTGATCTGTGCATATCTCCCCACTACCTTTTTTTCAAGAGCTGCAGAAGCTAAATCTAAAAAGCACCATTCTCCTAGAATAAGAGAGCCCTTTATTTGAATTTATACCATAGCCAGTATTTGGTTAACGTTCCCATGTAGACAAGCCTTGTACTTGGTTATCTGTGAGTTATCTTTAGGGTATTTTTACAAATGGCAGGATGGGGAATGAGATTACCAGTCCCTTTGAAAGCAAATCTAACCTGTGTTCATGATTAAATCTGCGGGTGGGCCCTGAGCATATATGAAGTCTCATTGATATTAATCATGCTCTGGGTGGGTGCAAGAAGCTGCTTATAAAAACTCTTAAGTCTACTTATTCCTCACTGCACTTTCTGAACCTGTCCCTTTCTGTTTAAATGTGCCCATGGGCATGCTGCCCATCATGTATGGTGGGAGGGGATTTGTGTGCCTCCCCTTTGGAGGGAAGTTGTCTGTGTGCACAAATCCTCCATG